TGTTTTAAATATCTAGCACCAAAATAATCAGACCTTATGTAGTCATCAAAAAAGTTATTTTGAAATGTAGTTTTATGTGCTCTCGACTGTACTATAGGGACTAACGAATAGCCATATTATATCCAAATAGATACAATAAGTTTGATTAAAATTATCTTTTACAAACCTACTTTACTCCCTTGTAGGAAGCGAACCTGCAACTTGTTTATTATTTTAACCATTACTCCGTTTACAACTACCTTCAGACAACAGCCAACTGACAAACGCTGTCCTTTTCCAGATACGTCGTGCTGTCCCTTTCTAATACTTCATGAAAAGAGCATAACATTTATTGCTATATATTTTTAACACATTTGCAATTTTCAAAACGGACCGACCGAACCACGGTAATTGGAGCTGATTAGTACAGTCGACAGCATAAAAATCTACAACAAATCCAAAACTGTTTTTGACCGTTATTACAAAAAATCAATTGAGCAACGTATTTTTTGTACTCATACAATTTTGAATCTTACGCCAGGGACAAAATCAATTGCTAATATTTTCTGTAGTACATTAATATGCTGTTTACAGTTCAAATATCAGATCCAATCACAGTGGTCGATATACATATTCTATCTACAATTATTTTAGTATTTATTACCTAATCTAACTGGCTTTTTACAGAACACCTCTCACGCGAGAAAACATTTTAGAACAATCTAGCATTTACTTTTTATATATAAAAAAAAACTATTTTTTCGACTACATTTTTGTATACATTATGGTACGAACGACAGCACATCAAGCTAAACACTGTGGCTCTTATGTAGTTGTAATAACTGCGATTTTTCAACTAAAATGTGTAGGCTGATGTGCCGTATGCAGTACACCGTCTCATGTACAGTCAACGAAGTAAACTTACAACGGATCGAATTCTATACAGCTGATTAAAGTTCAGTGTCTCTTTCCATCCGTATCGAGTTGAAAGAGACAAACGACTCGCACGTTTAACAAACTAAATCAAAAAATCTGTTTCAAGTTTTTATCATAATATTATAAGATCCTCACTCAGGTATTAAAACTTTATTCATCTAAAACGACCTCTGTGAGAAAACAACTGATTCTTCTTATTACAAAACTCGAAACCGTATTTTTATTATTTAACATGCGAACTGTCAAATTTAATTAGAGCTTAGAAATGTCAACTAAATTTGTCTATGGTTGCTACGTTTGACAGCTGTAAGCCGACTCTTTCTGTCAATATGGGAGAAAAAGAGACGCACTGATATTCTGTTCTGGTAATAATGTACAATCTAAAATCGTTAACAAGTCAACTAAAATTATTTTCAGCTTTGTGTTTATTATAAGGTTCAATATTGACTGATCAAAGAAATCTGTCATTTAGTCACAAATTGACAATTGTTTAATAATAATCAATTTCATTTTCTAGTTAACAAGATAAAAACATTATTCTCATTTAATTTACTTGACCATATTTTCGCACTCAACAGCATTTAAAAATATATAAAAATACATAAATTAGCACAAAAAATTCAGGTCTCCAAATCACTTTTTGACAGCTGTCATCAAATCATCCAAACCGTTTTAACAAAATTCAATACACAACAACATTTAACTTTAATTTTACATACACTTCCCTGACTGTACACTAACACTATGCTCAGTACATTTACATTTTTATTTGTCATTTTGACAGTTGACACGACGCGTTCACTTGCATGTGTCAAGTTGGCATCTGTCAATTTGCGAGTCCATTTGAACACGGTCACAGTATATTATTTTGGTCACAGACGTGTAAAGATGTTTGTATTCTTTGCAAATACAACTTTCCATACATGTTTCGTATATTTTCAAATAGTTTTTATGCATATTTACAACCACCTTCACACATACATACATGTGACCAACACTATGAAAGGACACTCAAGTACGGATTCAGTCACAAAATATAGATTTTAAATGCGATCGGTCTGTATTTGAGATTCAACCAATCACGAGATGAATCCATTCTTGAGTTTGAACCTGGATTTGAGTGTCATTTCACATTATGGGTCCTAGCATTGGTATATTTACATTTTCAATTTGTAACGATTCACTAAAAATTCTGGCCAAATACATTGCTCGAACAAGATTGTGTGAATGAGTATAAGAGACAAGGGTTCTTTCAAATTAGACGTTTTCAGGACGCCTATCGTACGTTTGCAAGACCGCATACTACATACTAACTATTGATAATTTGTCAATTTTAGTACGACGCAGTTGTCAACAAAAGTGGAAGACACTATTAATTTATTTAAAAAAAAAAAAAACTAGAGCCCGGTCTGTGAGCACGTAGAACTTTGTCCAATGACCCCAAGCTACCCATCCTTATCGCTCGCGCGTAATTATATTGCTGTCGCGACTGTGCGACGGGTGCCCGCAGTGAGTGCCTTTAGTACAGATTACAGACAACGACAAAAGTAACAGAGAGGCTGACAAAGGTGGCTGAGTTGCTTCCGCCACTTCTTCTCAGCACCAGCCCATTATATGTTGTCCCCGGGCAAGCTACATTTAGGACATCTAAGCGCCCTGGAAAGGGCTTTTGAAAGAAAAAAAGACTTTTATTAAACACTCGTATGCTTATTTGAACAATGTATATCATAGCCACATGGATACAGACAATCGATTAATTAACAGCAGTCTGTCTTGCTCTCACATTCGCGTGTGAGTGAGACAGCACGATCGATGTCAGAATCGTCATCGTATCTTTTGTTTACTTCAAGTTTTGTGACAGATAATGTTAAGTACAGTCGCCTTTGGGTCGACGTAATAATAATTTAAAAAAATTCACAATGGATTTCGGATCTTAGTTCTACAGCATAAGATTTAAAATCAATTGAGAATACATTGTCATTTTGAAGCAGGATCATATTAAAAAGTCTGCATATCTCTTTCTTTCCTTTATGAATAAACAAGGATGGGGCCACAAGTTTTACAAAGTACACAAACATCATGCGATGTCGACAGAGAAATAGACTTTAACTTGATATGCGCCGTCGTGTACGAAAGAGATACACATACTGAAAATAAAGCTCTTTTTTTTAAAAACAATACAATACGTTACATGTAAGTCTATTACGACTTTAAGTCAAGGCTACAGAGTTCAAATTATAGTGGGCATAAAGTTTCACATTATACAGTCAGCGTCAAATAGTTCGTGACACCCAAAGTGGCCAAAAAGTTGACAACACAACCTTATTCCAATTGTATAGTTCCAAAATACTGAACTGTCCTATCCATGACATTGACAGTGGGGCGCCACCGTCAATACCGGATCGCTGGTTCCGATTTTTGCCATGTTGGAAACCATATAGTTGAACGATGGTAGCGCCCCCCTGTCTTTGAGTTTGGTGGGACAGTTCAGCGTGGGTCATCTATAACAAAGACGTTGCGAACTTTTTGGCTACTTTGGGTGTCACGAATTATTTGACGCTGACTGTACACATCGAGGTAAACGCAATGGCATCTTATACAGCCGTATTAGGGTCTATTTTTGAAAAACGTAGTCTGAGGCCTTAGTGTGTTTGCATCAAACGTCCTCACATAGTGAGCGCGTTAAAAAATATGTGAAAATTTTAGTTCTTGAAAGTTTATTCTTACCGTTAGATAATTCCTGGCAATAAGTGGTGACTGAGTTTGTTCCGGCGTTTCTTCTCAGCACTTGCCATATGTTTGTCTCGAAGCGCTGGTGGGGCCCAAAAGATAAGGAGACATGTAAAGTGCCCCATAAGGGCTAAATTTTCTTTTTTTATTATTTTCTATTGACGTTCATAAGTGCCACTTGTGGTCTAAACTGAATAAATATTTTTGATTTTGATTTTTTTTCCGCTAGGGGCGCTGTACAATCCGTCATACATTTAATGTCATTTTTTATGTGCTCACTAGTGACGACGTTTGATGTAAACTCACACACACTAAGCCCTCTGCTATGCTGTTAACTGTACTTCATTCCTGGTTTCTTTCACAACTTTGTTTTTATTACAATTTTAAGCAATTTATGTGTATCACTGTAAAACTGTGAAATCCGTCAGATTATAATTTGACGTAGTTAGATTACAAACTAACCTAAACCCACTGTTAGTTTGCAATCTCACGCGTTATAGTATAACCTGACGGAGTTTACAATATTACGATGACATACAAATGTCTACTCCACTGCAGGAGTAAGACCCTCCCTAATTTACCAGAGACAAATGTCAAATTAATATTTTTCATTTCACAAGTAGTCTTGGCTGTTATAGATCGCTTCATCCACGAAGACGCGCCCCACCATTCTTCCGCTAATGTTTAAGTGTTATCGGTACACGCTAAAATCCATGAGTGCACTCGCACACTACAATAAAGCCGCTCGGATTGCTCGGATCACACTCCCCGCACCCCGCGCGACCGAGACCAAACATTGGTGGGGCGCGTCTTCGTGGTTAAAATGATTTATACTAAATACTATCCATTCGCTTTAAGTTTGCCGCTGGCGATATGACGTCACTCGAAGGGAAACGTCTGTAACTATAACAAACTATATTTAAAATATTTTTTATTTATTAATATTGATAAGATTATTATGTATTTGCGTGAAATAAGACACATTAATTGCGTTTAATCACTAACCAATAGCCTTTAATCGCGGTTGGGGGATGGGACGCGCATTTCAAGGACCGGCAAACTTAGCGCGAACGGGCATAGTCTGGTCTGTGAGCACGTAGAATTTTGTCCAATGACCCCAAGCTACCCATCCTTATCGCTCGCGCGTAATTATGTTACTGTCGCGCTCGCACACTCACTGCGGGTGCCAGTCGCACAGTCGCGTCGCGACAGCAACATAATTACGGGCAAGCGATAAGGATGGGTAACTAGGGGTCATTGGACAAAATTCTACGTGCTCACAGACCAAACTGTAGTATGTTTTAAGATTCCGGTTTGACAAGATCGTTATAAGTTTGAGACAGAAGTCCCTTTACAAGTCTTATGAAGAGATCAGTTTACTGTGACCGAATTACCTCACTTCACCGTCTCCGTCTGTGATCCACTCACTTGTCATCGTACCAATTTAAATTAAGTCCTAAATAGTCAATCTGTACACCGTTTGGTAACTGTCTCACTGTACACATCACTATGTTTCGTTTCACTTCACTTCTATGTGGCATCGACCACTGTTGTGGTTGTGTAGTCTTATCTGTTTCGGTGACCTGAAATAGAAATAAATACATAATTAATAAACAAACTTTTGGGCAATATTAAGTTTTTGTAATTCCTTGTTTCTGCTTATTTTTCACATATTTTTCGTCTTTCGCTCTAGAGCGCGTAGGTAGGGTGTCTACTGTCTATGTAAGTGTTATTATTTAATCATTTTTCGTTTATTTTTTATCTTTTTGTATATTTTTAGCGCTGTAGAGTCCGCATAAGTGACTAATTTAGTGTATTTTCTTTTCTTTTTATTTTGTAGGTTCATTTATGTGTTTTCCAGAGTTTTTAAGAGATTTTCTCCTTTTTTTGTTTGTTTTCAGCAACCTTACCTAGTCAAAAAGGTCCCTGTTTTGGTCTGGTGTGCTTAAACGTGACTATTTTAATCTTTCCTTATTTTTTGTTTCTTTTCTACCTTTTTAGTAGGTCCATGTCGCTCTAGAGTCCATTTACGTGACTTTTTTTCGTTTATTTTTTCTATTTTCCGCGACCAGCTGTAAGTAAACCTACTAACCTAGTCGAACAGGTCCTGATCGTGGTCTGGGGTGCTTAGGCGCGAGTATTTTAGTGTCTTTTCTTATTTTTAGGGTTCCGTACCTCAAAAGGAAAAAACGGAACCCTTATAGGATCACTTTGTTGTCCGTCCGTCCTTCTGTCAAGACCCTTTATCTCAAGAACGCGTGAACGTATCAAGCTGAAATTCACATGAAATACTCAGGTCTATTGTCCCTTTAAGCTGTGAAAATATCAAACTTCTAAGCCAAGCCAATCAAAAGATACAGCCGATTATGTCGATATTTTCAACAAATTTTCGACACTCGCAAAGGAATCAAAACCTACAGGATACTTCCCGTAAACTCAGAATCTTGAAATTTGGCATAAAGCATTGTCATATAATGCAAATATAGGAAAAATTGCGTTTAGAGTTGATTTATGTGTCTTTTTTTGTTTTCCGTTCTCCCAGCTGCAATCCAAAGCTCTCACCTAGTCGAACAGGTCCCGGTCGTGGTCGGGGGTCCGCGGGCGCGGCGGCGGCGCGGGCGGCGCGGCGGGCGAGGCGCCGCCGTAGTTCAGGAAGTCCCACACGAGGATGGTGTCGTGCGATGACGACACGAGTGTTGACTGAGTGGACTATAGAGCGCGCGAGAGTAAAGAGAATAGTGTCATTTTGGATTGTCAACCGTGCTTTAGCGTGACTATTAGTGTCTTTTATATTTTTCTATGGGGTGATTATAATGTTTTTTCTTTTTTTCTTTCTTTTCGTAATATCTTTGGCACTCTAGCGTACACAAGCGTGCCTATTTTAGTGACTTTTTGATATTTTTCCTTCTTTTTGGATATTTTTGGCATTCTAGCGCGCGTGGGATGTCTATTTTAGTTTCTTTTTATTTTATTTTTGCTTTTTCTTTGTGTTTTCGTACATTTTGGCGCTTTAGAGTGCCCTGAAGTTAGTTTTTAAGTATTTTTCTTCGTTTTTTATTTTTGTTTTCAGCTCCTATTTTAACGTTTTAGAGTTGATTTATGTGTCTTTTTTTGTTTTCCGTTCTCCCAGCTGCAATCCAAAGCTCTCACCTAGTCGAACAGGTCCCGGTCGTGGTCGGGGGTCCGCGGGCGCGGCGGCGGCGCGGGCGGCGCGGCGGGCGAGGCGCCGCCGTAGTTCAGGAAGTCCCACACGAGGATGGTGTCGTGCGATGACGACACGAGTGTTGGACTGAGTGGACTTATAGAGCGCGGGAGTCTTTGAGGCAGTCTTTATGTTTCTAGGTGTCATTTTGGGTTGTCAACCGCGCTCTAGCGTGATTATTTAGTGTCTTTTATATTTTTCTGCGGATCTATATGTCTGTAGAGTCAACGAGGTGGCTATTTAAGTGACTTTTTGATTATTTTACGTATTTTTGTAGGTTTTAAGCGCTCTAGCGTACACAGGTGTGCCTATTTTTAGTGACTTTTTGATATTTTTCAGTATTTTTCTTTCTTTTTGGATATTTTTAGCGCTCTAGCGCGCGCAGAATGGTTATTTTAGCGACTTTTTTTTATTTTTTCGTATTTATTTTTTCTTTTTGGCGGTTTAGTCCGTTTAAGTGCTTATTTTAGTGACTTATTTTCGTTTTTCTTTTGTTTTTGGCAAGTTTATGTGAGTTTTCAAGTGTTTTCGTCCGTTATTTTTTGTTTTTAACAACCCACCTAGTCGAACAGGTCCCGGTCGTGGTCCGGGGTCCGCGGGCGCGGCGGCGGCGCGGGCGGCGCGGCGGGCGAGGCGCCGCCGTAGTTCAGGAAGTCCCACACGAGGATGGTGTCGTCGTGCGATGACGACACGAGTATTGGACTGAGTGGACTTATAGAGCGCGGGAGTCTTTGAGGCAGTATTTATGCTTCTAGGTGTCGTTTTGGGTCGTCAACCGCGCTCTAGCTCGGCTATTAAGTGTCTTTTATATTTTTCTGCGGATCTACACATCTCTAGACTTCACGATGTGGCTATTTAAGTGACTTTTTGATTTCTTTTCGTATATTTGTAGGTTTTAAGCGCTCTAGCGTACACAGGTGTGCCTATTTTAGTGACTTTTTGATATTTTTCAGTATTTTTCTTTCTTTTTGGATATTTTTAGCGCTCTAGCGCGCGCAGAATGGTTATTTTAGCGACTTTTTTTATTTTTTCGTATTTATTTTTATTCTTTTTGGCGGTTTAGTCCGTTTAAGTGCTTATTTTAGTGACTTATTTTCGTTTTTCTTTTGTTTTTGGCAAGTTTATGTGAGTTTTCAAGTGTTTTCGTCCGTTATTTTTTGTTTTTAACAACCCACCTAGTCGAACAGGTCCCGGTCGTGGTCGGGGGTCCGCGGGCGCGGCGGCGGCGCGGGCGGCGCGGCGGGCGAGGCGCCGCCGTAGTTCAGGAAGTCCCACACGAGGATGGTGTCGTCGTGCGATGACGAAACGATCTGGAACTCGTCGAACTGGAGCCGGAACACTCGTCCTGTATGCTCCTGGGGGCAATGGGACTTGTTAGCGATACTAGTTTGGGGAACGGAGTAGAAAAACTTTATTTACACAATGTTTAAAAGAGATTTTTTTTATCTGGCACACAGAATAGTAAAAGTTACATAAAAAGAAAATAAGTATAAAGCAAAATGTGTTGTCAAAAAGGTGTTTAACTCAGCATGAGTCAAAAAGTCAGAGTATGATAGTAAGGCTGAGTATGCTACATCAATTCATAGCTAACGTAAAGGCGTATCTCATTTGGTGTAACTTATGGCCTATACATAGTTTCAAACTAAAAGACTTTCCAAGGGTTTCCAAAACGACCAGTCGTGCGCTGTCCGTATTCAGGTGCTTCTCGAAACCTTCACTAGATCCATCATTTCATGAATCGTCGATCCCACAGAGACATTATTTACTAGCCGTGTCCGTGACTTCGTACGCGTGAAAATAATTTGAAAAATTCCCGTTTTTGCAACACTTTTCTTTACTGATCCGCCCCTATTGGCTGTAGGGTGATGTCATATAACCTAAAGCCTTTCTCGATAAATCAGGCCAGTAGTTCCTGAGATTAGCGCGTTCAACCAAACAAAAAAAACTCTTCATCTTTTAATATTCGTTCGTTCGTTTCAGCCGAAAGACGTCCACTGCTGGATAAAGGCTTCAAAGACCGGTCCTGCGCCGCTCGCATCCAGGCACCTCCCGCGACCCCCACCAGATCGTCGGTCCACCTAGTGGGAGGCCTGCCCACGCTACGTCTTCCGGCTCGTGGTCTCCACTCAAGAACTTTCCTGCCCCAGCGGCCATCAGCTCTACGAGCTATGTGCCCCGCCTATTGAAACTTGATTTTAGCGATTCTGCGGGCTATGTCAGTCACTCTGGTTCTCCTACGGATCTCCTCATTTCTGATTCGATCACGCAGGGAAACTCCGAGCATAGCACGCTCCATCGCCCTTTGGATTACCCTGAGCCTTCTTATGAGGCCCATAGTAAGCGACCACGTCTCAGATCCGTATACCATCACTGGCAACAACTGGTCAAAGACTTTTGTCTTGAGACACTGCGGTATTTCGAACGTGAGAATATCGCGAAGCTTCCCGAACGCTGCTCAGCCGAGTTGGATTCGATGATTGACCTCTTTCTCGAAGTTGGCCTACCTACCTTACTGGATAGTATTAGTATAGATTATTTTTGCTGTATACACTCACCACTAGCGTCTGTAGGCAGAGATCCTGGTGCGGCGTTCTGACGTCGAGCGCCGCGGGTAGATTCCACACTTTGATTTTGCCGTCGTACGCGCCGCTAACTATCCTCTTGTTGTCGAATCTGCAATGGAATTACAAATCAAATCATTTATTTTGCACTAGCTTTCCGCCCGCGGCTTCGCCCGCGTGGTTTGTTATTCCAAGTCTGATTCTTTTTTGTTATACCACGTTTTATAGTGACTGACGTTTCATGTCAAGTCACACGGGAATGCCGTCGAACGGGATAAAAAGTATCCTATGTCCTTCTCCTGGCTCTAAACTACCTCCCTGACAATTTTCAGCTAAATCGGTTCAGCCGTTCTTGAGTTATAAGTGGAGTAACTAACACGACTTTCTTTTATGTATATAGATAGATATAGATTGCATGACTGTGTGGTTTGGCAGTTGGTAAATGGTAGCGTAGTACATCACATGCACCCGTAAGGTTTATTGAATTTTACTGAATTAAATTTTACAAAACCGATTTTACTGAAAACAATAAAAATGGCAGTTTTGTGAATATGGGATTTTTACCCTCCTGGCGCAATCGGGTAAAAAGGACTCAAATAGAGGTTGAAGTTGAACTCAAGTAGAATATCATTAGTTTAGGTGGTCATCAAACTTTTTTCATTGTGAGATACACTTTATAATGCTTTCAGACCGATATTTAGGTTGAGTTGCACCATCTTACGCAAACCATAACCGGTGTTGTATGGGGCTTGACAGACTTTTGGCGTCTCGCTCGCTCACATTGGTTCCGGCGAGTGCGAAATCGCAGGCGTCCATACCATATCTGAAGCCCGTATTCACAAACGATTCTTGCTTAAGTGGAGCAGCAAATCGAACGCACAGCGTTGAATAGAGCTCTGGGATTGGGTTGTAGTAGGAAGATAAACCACAAATCGCGCACAATGGCCCAATAATGAGGCTAAGTGCGGTATTCGATTGCCCTGCAAAACTAACTAACTAACTAGAGCTCTGGGATTGGTTCGTAGTCACCCTGTGCATCCACGCGCACTGTGAGACCTCATAGTAATGTTTGTGAATACAGGCTGTTACAGATAGCCCTCGCACCCTATATTGCTTACTTGACATTTCGCCTTTTGCCGACTCATCATTTTCCATCCATAGCCTGCGATCCCTCGCATCTCCAAGTCAGTCTCAATCCACCATCCGAACTAGACGGCTGTCTTATCCTATTAATCTCGTGTTCTTTTTTAAAAACCCAAATCCTCTGAGGCTCATAACAGGGCGCTAGTATCGAGCGAGCACTCGGCGTCTCGCTCGCTCATACGTGGTACTAACGCGTGCGAAAAAGACAGAACACTCACCGTATACACCGCACCAATTCCTCGTGTCCTTCAAGCACTCTAATGCACTGTCCGCACTCAATGTCCCAGAGCCGGATCGTGTTGTCCGAGGATCCGGACACGACGAGCCGGTCTCTGTATTGAAGACACGCGATGCCGCGCTTGTGTCCGTTTAGCGTCCGAACGAATTCGCATGAGGACGTGTTCCACACCTGTGAAGAAAAATTGAGATATCTACATAAAACAAAATAGTGTTAGTTGCACCATTTTTTTATGCACAACAAGGCAGGTATTTGACCACAATCACACCTGGTATTAAGTGGGATGCAGTCTAGGATGGTACATATCTGCCCTGTAAGTGCCTATTATCTCTCGCCTTGAAAAGGTCCGGATTATAAGTCTTCAGGAAAGACAGCATTTATAGTTCAAGAACCGCTGGACAGATTTTGATGAAAGGTATTAAGGTAGATGACACCCTGGCCTATCAGATAGGCACCCGCCTACTCAAAAAAGAGTGTAACTTGTGTCGTTTTCTGGTACACTTCAATAAAAATATAAATTAATATCCTAACAGCTGCACCAGTTTAGATGAATTGTTGGCGATGTCACATTACATTACATCTTCAATATGACAGGAGATGGGGTATCAAAAGGGGAACTGGGTATCAGGAAGATGACGTATCATAAGGGGGACGGGGTATCAAGAAGGGGATGTGGGATATCAAGGGTAGAGGAGGTATTAAGGGGGTGTTAGAAATTGATGGATAAATTGATGCTGGCACTGATGATGTCTAATTAAATCTTCAATATGCCGGGGAGGAATAGAGTATCAGTAGGGTATCATTGACGACCTGATAAAGGTAGCAGGAAGGCGCTGGATGCAGGCCGCTACCAACCGTGCGATGTGGAAGTCATTGGGGGAGGCCTATGTTCAGCAGTGGACGTCCTATGGCTGAAATGATGATGATGTCAATCCGAGGATGTGGGTATCAGGGAAGGAGACAAAGTATCAAGATAAGCGAGACAGGGTATCAGGAGGGGAAGGTGAGGTATCAAACGGGAGCGTGAGAGTATCAAGAGAGGGAGACAGGGTATTATGAGGAGCACTGGGTATCGGAGGGTGTCAACCGGGGATGTGAGTATCTGGGGAAGAGGGGATCAGTAGGGGCACACGGGGTATCATGGCGTACCTTGATGGTCCGGTCCCCGCTGGCGCTGACGATGTACTTCTCGTCGAAGTCGACCACGTTGACGGCGGCGCGGTGGCCGACCAGCACGCGGCGCAAGTTGATCTCCGTCGTCGAGCTCATGTCCCACACTGCTATCGATCGGTCCTGAAACAACAATGCCAAATTAAACATCTCAAACGGAGCGGTGGCCGGTGAGCGAAGTAAAAATCAACAAAAGAATTGCATAAAATATCCGCTCTCCTTCAGTAGACACGGAGTTGCGAACTAGTTCTTACAAGCAACTGGAAAGCGGAGCGGGGAAGCGTATCGGTGAACATCACAGAAAATTTTAAAAAAAACTTACAGTTAGTGCGGTCGCAGCTTCAATACCAATTATTATCAAAAAGAACGCATAGTTTGGAGGACGCAGGGATTACAAGGGGCGAAGGGGCTCAAAAACTGAACTCCGACAAACGTTACTTTGACATTACGTTACTCCGACACTACTGAATATCGACATGACTTTACTTCGACACTACACTACTTAGACAAAGGCGAATATCCTTTGTCGGAGTAGTGTAGTGTCGAAGTAAAGTCATGTCGATATTCAGAAATGTCGGAGTAACGTAATGTCGAAGTAAAGTTTGTCGGAGTTTACTTAGGTAGCCGGGGCGAAGGTATCTAGGGTAGGGAGACGAGGACCAAAAGAGGGGTTGAGGGTGTGAAGGTGTCAAGGACAGAATTTAAAAGTAAATTAGAATAAAAGAATAAAGACGTCACTTACCAAACAAACGCAGAAAAATAAGGTTTTTCATTTTGCTCTCTTCTTAATATTATAAAATATTATGTAGAGAATCACAAGGTTAAGGGATGAGGTGATAACGTGAGAGGGCGCGGGTATCAAGGGAACTGGGAAAGGGGCTCGAAAAACATCTGCCCTTGTCCAAGGGCGCCAAAGTAACAAACCTAGCTACAAATTACCATCATCCTCCTGAAGAAACGCAGATCCTCCGTGGTTGAGGATTCCGGGTGAAGCTCGCTTCCAGCTTCGGCCTGATCGTCACTTACCATCAGGTGAGATACAGGCCAAGAACTTACTCGTTGTGGATAAAAAAAAGATGCAGATCGAGGGGAGCGGGACGAGGGGATCAAGTGGGACAAGGGGATCAATGGCATGGGTTGATGAAAGGAGGACGAGGGGATCAATGGCATGGGTTGATGAAAGGAGGACGAGGGGATCAATGGGAGGGGATGAGGGGTTCAAGCGGATGCGGGCGAGGGGTTAAAGAGGAAGAAAAATAGGGGTTCAGGGGAGCCTGTCAGATATCAGGGGATCAAGGAGGGGATCGAGAAGATGACAAGGGGATCAAGAGGAGGGCAAATGGTCAAAAACACCTGCAATTTCTCAAAAGCGGGAGATAAGGGTCAGAAAACACCAGCCATTTCTCAAAGGCTCTATACATAGAGCTGCAGTATTTTTCCAAGGGTTCCAAAGCAACATACCTTGCTGCAGGTGAGGGGATCAATGTTACTTGGACGAGGGGATCAATGTTACTTGGATGAGGGGATCAATGTTACTTTGACGAGGGGATCAATGTTACTTTGACGAGGGGATCAATGTTACTTGGACGAGGGGATCAATGTTACTCGGACGAGGGGATCAATGGCGGGCACGAGGGGATCACAGCGACACACCTTGCTGCAGGTGAGGGGATCAATAACAGCGGGATGAAGGGATCAATGACAGAGGGATTAGAGGATCAATGGGAGGGGATCAATGACAGATGGATGAGGGGATCAATGGGAGGGGATCAATGACAGAGGGATGAGGGGATCAATGACAGGGGGATCAATGGGAGGGGATCAAGGACAGGGGGATCAATGGGAGGGGATCAAGGGATCAATGGGAGGGGATCAATGACAGAGGGATCAATGACAGGGGGATCAATAGGAAGGGGATCAATGGGAGGGGATCAATGGGAGGGGATCAAGGACAGGGGATCAATGGGAGGGGGTCAAGGACAGGGGGATCAATGGGAAAGGGATCAATGGGAGGGGATCAATGTTACTTGGATGAGGGGATCAATGTTACTTGGATGAAGGGATCAATGTTACATGGACGAGGGGATCAATGTTACTTGGACGAGGGGATCAATGTTACTCGGCCGAGGGGATCAATGGCGGGCACGAGGGGATCACGGCGACACACCTTGCTGCAAGTGACCATCATCCCGCTGCAGAAGCGTAGATGAAGAACCGCCTCGCAGTGGTGTATGAGCGTGTTCAGCATGGCGCCTGTTGTTACGTCCCACACGCGGACTGTGGAGTCGGAGGAGCCCGAGATGATCGATGGGAGGACGAGGGGATCAATGAGGGCACGAGGGGATCACGGCGACACACCTTGCTGCAGGTGAGGGGATCAATCATACGGGATGAGGGATCAATGGGAGGGGATCAATGGGAAAGGGATCAATGACAGGGGGATCAATGGGAGGGGATCAATGACAGATGGATAAGGGGATCAAGAGGAGGGGATCAATGACAGATGGATGAGGGGATCAAGGGGAGGGGATCAATGACAGATGGATGAGGGGATCAATGACAGATGGATGAGGGGATCAATGACAGAGGGATCAATGGGAGGGGATCAATGGGAGGGGATCAATGACGGGGATCAATGGGAAAGGGATCAATGGGAGGGGATCAATGTTACTTGAATGGA